AATGACGGAGCCTCCAAAATTAAATACAATGTTTCTTTGTGCATTTTAATATGTAACTAGACTTCGACCGAAACTGTCAGTTCTGAGCCTCATATGCTTGCTTATTCAGTTCATCACTTTTATCATTTTCTACAGAAATTGTTGTTGTTTTGTGTCTGGTCAATGTCCTTATGATAAATTACAATGTTTTGTGTGAAAAAGAACTCGCATGCAGCAAACTATTACACACATAGAAAACGTAAAAGGGCACCACGTCTTTCCTCAAAATGAATTGAAATTGAATGATATGTTCTTGTTTCTGTGGTGTGGTGTTGGAATTGTTGTAAAAGCTTTTTGTATATAATTCCCAAATTTTCTTAAAACTTTAATTTTCTCCTGCTACTTGATTGCAGGTGATGCAGGCAAAAATGAAGGTTCATTATGTTCTGCTGCTCTTCCTCAATCTCATGAACAGATGCCTGAGAAGGAGAGTGGTAATCTTACTGCTGCTGATAAACCTACTCCTCATTCACCTGATGTCGTCAAAACTATTGTGGTGTCTCGTGATACCAATGGAAAGGATAACATTAAGGGGCCGTCAACTAAGAATGTTGAAGTTCCAGAGGCCAAGGGTAGGCTGATTGGCAATGCACTTTCTGGTTCCCAGTTCCCGATAGGAAATAGTGTCTCTGAAAGTGAGACAGTTCTTACCTTTGAGTCCAGCTCGTTGGTAGATCTGCCAAAAAAAGATTCTGGCATTGCAGTTGCACCAGCAGCTAACGCCTCTCTGGTGATTCTTTTCCTTCATGTCATTAGTGCCATTAAAATTTTTTCCCTTCATATCATCTTCCTGTTCACAGGGGAACATATATATTTCTCTGTTCATGTTTTATTCTTCATATTGTGGATTATTTTTCTTGAAGGTTGTGGAGGGACCCCAATCATCTTCTGGCCTACCCACAATGGACATCAAGTGTGCTCAGGATATTTCGCATAGGAGCCCGAAGGTGTCGGAGGTGAAAGTTGCACATTCTCGTTCCAAGGGCACTCCGGAGCGTAAAACTAGACGTGCTTCTGCGAAAGGATTGGGGAAAGAGTCATCTACAAAGGGAAATCACACGAAGAAGTCAGAGAAAGTAGAGAAATCTAACAGTTTGTCCATGAGTAATCCTGGGATTTTCCAGCTTGCACAGCCTAATGAGATGCAACATCATGGACATGTGGAATCAAGTGGTGCAAAACCATTTGTCTTTATTGGTGCTTCAAATTCTAGCATTCCAGACTTGAACAATTCTGCCTCCTCGTCTCCAATGTTTCAGCAGCCTTTCACAGACTTGCAGCAAGTTCAATTGCGTGCTCAGATTTTTGTTTACGGAGCTTTGATGTGAGTTATTAATTTATTTTCTTATCCTTAACACAATTTAATGAAATTATAGCTCTATTCAGTTGCATGTATATGTTTCAGAGGCATTAGTGTCAGAACTGAAAATCATTGCAATTTTCCCCCTTTCATAACTGTAGAAAAAGTTTAAGAGGTTGAAGTCTTGTCCTATTAAAAAAGGAGGTAGACAGCAGAAAGTCATTTCATCCTTTTGAATAAAGCACCAAAGATTTGTTGTGTAGTTTGTTTAATTGAGCTTCTTTCTACTGAGTGATTTTTATGGATTAAATTGTTGCTGCAGTCAAGGTACAGCCCCAGATGAGGCATACATGTTATCTGCATTTGGAGGTCCTGGTAAAATTTCCCCCCTATCAATTCATTATGGTCACCATATGAATGTTGCCTTTTCTTTATTTGTGTGAGTTTTACATTCAGATGCTGGAACAAACCTTTGGGAGAATGCCTGGCGTATGTTTGTAGATAGGCTTCATGGAAAAAAATCTCAGCCTATTAACCCGGAGACACCTTTGCAATCACAATCTGGTAATTTGAGGCATTTTGTGCATTTCTAGGCTTATTGCTCTCTCTCTTTCAATTTGAAAATTTGTCTTGTAGGTAGTAGGAGTACTGAACAAGCAAATAAACAAAGTACACTGCAAAGCAAAGTTATATCTCCTCCAGCTAGTCGAATTAGCAGTAAGAGTACTTCAACAGTGTTAAATCCTATGATCCCTCTTTCTTCACCACTCTGGAGTATTTCCACACCTTCCAATGCTTTACAATCTAGTGTTATGCCTCGAAGTCCAGTCATAGACTATCAGCAGGCACTTACTCCGTTACATCCTTATCAGACTCCGCCTGTCAGGAACTTCATTGGTCATAATCTTTCATGGTTCTCTCAGGCCCCATTCCATAGTACCTGGGGTGCTACTCAGACTTCGACACCTGACTCCAGTGCGCGATTTTCTGGTTTGCCAATTACTGAGCCAGTTCATTTAACACCACTAAAGGAATCATCTGTGCCACAGTCCTCTGCCGTGAAACCCTCTGGTTCTATGGTTCATGGAGCACCTGGTAATGTATTTACTGGGGCCTCCCCCCTGCTAGAGTTGAAAAAGATGTCAGTAACCACGGGGCAAAGTTCCACTGAATCAAAAATGAGAAGAAGAAAGAAGACTACAGTTTCTGAGGATCCTGGCCTTCTAACTATGCAGGTTCAACCTCATTTAAAACCAGTATCAGCTGTGGTTACAACTACAATTTCTACTCTTGCAACATCTCCATCTGTCCACCCTAAGGCAGCTTCTGAGAATTTGATTTTATCTGCATCTCCATTGTGTCCGACTACTCATCCAAAGAATGCAGGTCAAGATTTGAGAGGGAGAGCTATATTTTCAGAGGAAACACTTGGCAAGGTTAGGGAGGCTAGACAACTGGCCGAGGATGCTGCACTGTTTGCATCTGAAGCTGTTAAACACAGTGCAGAAGTTTGGAGTCAGTTGGACAGACAGAAGAACTCTGAACTAGTATCAGATGTTGAAGCTAAACTAGCTTCTGCAGCTGTTGCAATAGCAGCAGCTGCTGCTGTCGCAAAGGCTGCAGCAGCTGCTGCCAATGTGGCATCAAATGCTGCATGTCAAGCAAAATTGATGGCTGATGAAGCATTGACTTCATCTAGCCATGAATTTTCCTGTCAGAGCAATGAAATTTCTATTCATGGTAGTGCCGTTGGTGTAGGGAAGGCTACTCCAGCATCCATCTTGAGGGGAGAAGATGGAGGAAATGGTTCCAGTTCTATAATTGTTGCTGCTAGGGAGGCAGCTAGAAAGAGGGTTGAAGCAGCATCGGCTGCTTCTAAGCATGCTGAAAATGTGGATGCCATTGTCAAAGCTGCCGAGCTGGCAGCAGCAGCTGTGTCACAAGCTGGAAAGTTAGTTGCTATGGGTGGCCCTCTTCCGTTGGGCAAATTAGTGGAAGCTGGTCCGGAGGGTTGTTGGAAAGTACCTCAAGTGTCTTCTGAGCTAGTTATGAGATCAGATGATGTTAATGGAGGATGTACCAGTTCAGCAATTAAGCATCCTGGAGAGCGACCATCAGGTAAGAATGAAATTCAGGTAAGTGTCAACGCCAAGGCATTAATTCCTGGAGAAATATCCATGGGTTCTGTTGAGAATCATCCCAGATTGTTCGATGGCATCACAAGTAAAGTAGCTCCTCGTGAGAAGGATGTGAGAGGGCAGAAGGACCAAAATGCTTCTGATTTGACAAAAACCATTGGTGTTGTTCCAGAATCCGAAGTTGGGGAAAGATCCTCCCAGGACAACTGTGAAAAGACTAAGGATTTAAGGCAGAGTAGCATCAAGGAAGGTTCCCATGTCGAGGTCTGAAATTGTTATATATAAATTTTCAATTTCTCACCTTTGTTTTTTTTTTTCTGCATTTGCTGATTATTGATTGGTGTTTTCCGACTCTTGTTTCCGTACTAACCTTATTGGTTTTTTTTTTTTGATATGATGGTTATAAATTAGGTTTTCAAGGATGGAAATGGATTAAAAGCATCTTGGTTCACAGCCAATGTTCTGAGTTTGAAGGAAGGGAAAGCTTACGTTTCCTACACTGAACTTCTACCTGAAGAAGGTAATGAAAAGCAAAGCATACAGTGTAAGCTGATGGGCCTTTGTCTTAGTATCTTAAGATTTACTAATGAATACTATTAGATTCTTGCTTTCAAGAGAAGCTGCAGTGTAACTATTTTATCGGTTTCTGGTTCATAAATTTTTGTTGACAAGTTTATAAGAATATGTTGAGCTTTAAAAACAGGTGTAGTTCTTGAATCCTCTCTACAGATTGTTACTTTCTTGATTTGTGCAGGGTCAGGCCAACTAAAGGAGTGGGTTGCTCTTGATGGTCAAGGCGGTATGGCACCAAGAATACGGATTTCTCGTCCTATGACTACCTTGCGAAATGAAGGAACAAGGAAGAGACGGAGAGCAGCTGCAGGGGATTACATCTGGTCAGTTGGAGACAAAGTTGATGCTTGGATGCAGAATAGGTGTGGTTTTCTCTTCATGCTTTCTGATTCCGTTATTGCAAACAATTTTCATTGAGTGAGGAAGTATACAGTGAGAAGGGGAAGGATATACTCCTGTACAAAGTTCCTGAGGATCACAAAAATGCTCTATAATTAATTAAGGGGAGAAATTCCAAAATGCTCTATAATTTAAAAAAGGATATACTCCTGTATAAAGTCCTGAGGATCACAAAAATGCTCTATAATTAATTAAAAGAATGGAGAAATTCCAAAAGCTTTTGGCTAGAAACAGCCAAATTTAAATGAAGAAAACGAAAAGCTGCTTGCAGTCCTAGGTGAAGTGAAACTCATCTGGAAAAAGATTCTCCAATTCCCAAAATATTAAGGACATCAAAAAATCCTTTAATGAAGTGTTTCTTTCTATTATACAATGAAAAAAAGGCAACAACTATCACTCTTCGATTACAAAGGATTTTAGAGCTGAAAATCTCCATTATGATTTAATTGAAGAGAAATGAATGGAACTGTTATGACTTCCTGAAATAGGATTACAACTCTGAGACTGATCATTTATTACATCAAGTTCCATCCAAGGATTTGAATGATGAATCATCACATGGCAAGGTAAATAGCTTCTCCTTCAAGATTATCTAGCCTCAATTTTGGAGTCGGGGGAGTGTGCTTTCGCTTTCTTTGGGTATCAGGCATCCCTTGAGGGATAGGGACTTCGGAGGTTTCTGCCCTGCTTCTTTTGCTGTCAGGCGTTCCTTTTTGTGGGTGGAGAATGGATCTTTGGGTTTGGCCCTCTAACCCCTCACTTTCTTCCATCGGTTGAGTTCTCCCCCTCTTCCTCCTTTTGCCCTGGTGTTTGCTTTGCTTTGGAAGGTCAAGATTTCAAAAAAGATCAAATTTTTTAGGTAATGGGTCTTGGAAAGTCAATGCCTTGATCATATTCAAAGGTTTTCTTATTTTCTTTTGGGACATTTATGGTGTGTGTTTTGCAAAGGTGCCTCGGAGGATCTTGACCATATTATGTGGTCTTGCTAGTTTGCTCGAGATATTTGGGATCCTTTGTTGGGTGCTTTGAGGTGTCTTCGACTCATAACTGGGATTTTTGAGCAATCTTAGGGGAGGTGTTGTTGTCCCCCTTTTCGGGATAGGGGAAGTTTTTGTGACAAACCTGTTTCTTTGCTATCTTGTGGTGAAGTTTGCTTGAGAGAAACAATAGAGTCTTTAATGAATGGAGAGATCCAGTGAGGTGGTTTGAGAGCTTATTAGATTTAATAGTAATACATCCTTGTGGGGATCAGTTTCTAAGATCTTTTGTAATTATCAGTTAAGCTTAATTCTTTTGGATTGGAGCTTCTTTTCCTAGGGGTGTCCTTTGGTTGAGCTGGTTTTTTATATGCTATTGTAATTTTTTTTTTTAATTTCTCTCAATGAAATAGCTGGTTCTCATTGAAAAATAAATGGACTTAACAACAAAAAATTCTTTCAAGATAGTATAGTCTATTCAGATAAAGAATTAGATGTAAGTGTCAACAGCCTTGATACAGAGGATTACTCTCCTATAGTCAATTCGGAGTTAAATGGATCAACATTCTAGGAAGCTCTCGATTCCTTATTCCAAGAAGAAGTCATCCCTCAAACAAAGGAAAACATCAAAGTTTTCTTAGAACCCATTCTAGAAAACAAGAACAATCTTGACCCTTCATCTTCCAATCCAGGTAATGGAATTTCAAAATTATCCTTTTTTATTCAAAATTGTATATTAGAAGCAGTGTTTTCGAAGCGCAAGGCGTACTGCAAGGCGACAAGCCCTTTGATCGCCTTGAGGCTAGAGGCGATACAAAGGCGATGCTCGAGTGAAGCGAGGCGCACCTTAATAAATAAATAAAAATTATATATATATAGTGCATAAATTTATATAGTAAACCTTTAAAAACTCAATACCAAAATAGTGCCATAATAAATGTCAACAAGATACATAAAACAACCAAATTTTATAAGTTTAGTTCCAAATAAAGACAAGCAACATTAAGAAATAATAGAGTATGGAATAGAACAAAAGTAAATATAAGTGATTAAGGATCATTATCCTCATCTAAATCTAAATTTTTTTCATCTTGGTCGTCCTCACAATCTTCCTTTTCCAATTCTTCTTCTTCGGTGTCGTCATCATCGTCACTAACCACCACTGGCACTGATTTTCAAACTCTAAAAGTTGTGGGAGTGGGAGTAGCAGGCGACTTTCCTTTAGATCTTGCTGATGTAGATCTAGTTTGCCTTATGGGCTCTCCAACACCACTGGCTGGCCTCGGCTATATCTCCCCATGTGAGGTCATCATCATCAAACACCAACTCATTTTCTTCTTGACTACCTTCTTCTTCGAGTGTTCCAATCAACCATTCATTACTTTCATCAATATGATCCAAAGAAATCGGATCATGTTGGTCTTGTAGAGTATAGCGCTCTTTAAGTGCTTGGTTATATTTTACATAAACCAAGTCATTAAAACACTTTTGCTCTAACCTGTTCCTTTTCTTGGAATGAATCTACAAAATTATTAACGAATTTAGAGTCAAAAGTGGATTTTTAAATCTTCAATTAACTATGGAAAAACCAAATTATTCTCACTTACATGTTAAAAAACACTCCAATTGCGCTCGTTAGATTAAGGACTCTCATGGCTAACTTTCGTAAAATTGAAGCATTGACGCCATAAAGAGACCACCATTCAGCTGCGCACGTATTAAATAAATGATTTAGACTTTTAGCAGTTCAAACTTAAACACGTCTATTAAAACTAAAAGTAATAAATAATGTCATTACCTGATGTTTTAACAACCCTCGTCCTTACTGCTATAGTACTCCCAAATATGCTTTCGCTTCATTGTACAATTCTAATTCAATTGTACATTGAACTTGACCATCGATAGATGGTATTAATCGTTCCACAACTTTGATCCGACAATCCATGACCTCAGGATCTTGGATAATTCTCTCTTTGTTGTCATAGAAAAGAGATGGATTTAAATAATGTCCGGCTGCATGTAAAGGTCGATGAAGTTGACAATCCTACCTTTTATCAATAATCTCCCAAATCGGTCTATACTTGGCCTCATTTTCATTGAAACCACTCTTAAATCGCCTCTTTTGCCCTATCCGTAGCTTCATAAATAATAACCCATAGCCGATTTATCACCATCAATGAGCCTCTACGCACGAACTAAAGGACCCGATGTCTTCAAAGTATACACAACCGAATTCCAAAATGATGGCGTCATAACGGTTTCAGCTCCTCTCTTCCCCTTTGGGTCCTTTGCCCATTTTGAGGTGGTCCACTTCTCAGAAATAAAAATCTTTCTCAAATTAGCTTTATTTTTGTGAATACTGGATAGGGTTAATAATGAGGTTGCAAAGTGAGTCACTGTTGGTCTTACCAATTCACGTTGATTAGTAAATTCCCTCATCATGTTTAGCACGTACAAGTGGTTGTAAATAAAACCACTAAGTGCCACAACCTTTCTAAGACACCTTTTAACTTGATCCATCTTTCCAGTATTCTCTAAAATTAAATCTAAACAATGAGCAGCGCATGGTGTCCAATATAAATGAGGTCGTTTTGCTTCTAAAAGTTTGCTAGCTAGGACGTAGTTTAAGGCATTATCCGTCACAACTTGGACAACATTTTCTTCTCCAACCTTTCTACCATGCCATCTAAGAGTTGAAAAATCTTTTCTTCAGTTTTTATGCATGAAGATGCATCGATGGATTCCAAAAATATTGTTCCAATAGATGAATGAACCAAAAAGTTGATTAGTGTCCTATCCCTCCAGTCAGTCCACCCATCTGACATCAACAACCATTTCTCTTCCATTCTACCTCATGATCGCCCATTAGATTTTTCGTGTACTGTACTTCGTTTTTCAAGTACGTTACTCGAGTTTCATGATAAGGAGGTATCAAACCAGGACCAAATTGCCCTACAGCTTCTAGCATCACTTCAGAACTTCTCAAACGAATAGTATTTAGAGGAATGTTCTGCTTGATATATCCAACACGTGATGAATTGCACTGTAACAGCCCTCCCCTCTTTATCATATTTTTCAGTAATAGTTGATTGCTTCAGCCTCTTCAATCGATTTCTATTATCAACAACTTTTCCGGGATGTTGATAAGGAAATTTATCCATTAGCCCCTTTGATCGCGGTGGTTTTAATTGTGATTGACTACAAGAGTTACTACAACTTCCTCCTCCACTTCCACTTCCTCTTCCTCTCCCTCTCCCTCTCCCACCCATACCACTCACATTATCATTTGTACTTGTTCTTGTTTGCTTGTTCGTTGGGGTTGATGTTGATCCACTACCACTACCACCAACTTCTTCCATCTCATCTTCCTCATCTTCTTCAATCAAGGTTAAATCCTCATACGTTGGGAGGGCATTACTCTCTTCCCTTTTTAATTTTGTTCTTGTTTGATACTCCTTCAATTCTTCTCTCACATTAGTTGGGCATTTCAAAGATGCCTTTACATTTCGATTTCCCCGAACCAAATGCTCGACAAATTCCACCTTTAGAAACTTTTCCACAAAACATGCACTTGCATGTGTTTGTATCTTGTGGATCATCCAATAGACGTAATTCCAATCGGGATACTTACGTTTGTTTCCACCTTCCATCCTATTATAATTAAAACTTTGAAGATAAAAAAATAAACAAATAAAATAAATGTAAAGGAATGACTGACTGTGAAGAAAGCCATGGTGAAGATCTAGAAAGAATGGGTGTGAAATGAAAGAGAGGAAAAGAAAAGGAATAAATGAGATAAAAGAATTAAAAAGGAAAACCTACGAAAGTCGAGGATGAGCCGTGACAGCAACAGACAGAGGAGGCGGCGGCTGCGACAGTAGGAGACGGCAGCGACGACAATGGTTGGAGACGGGAGGGGCGACGACCGGAGATTGAGGGTGGTGAAGTGAGGTGAATGTCGAGACTCGAGAGGCAGAGGGAATGAGTTAGGGCTTCTAGGTTTTTCGCGAGGGAGAAGAGTGTTTTAAAAAAATAACACATTAACAAAAAGGGTAGATCGCCTCGCTTCAAGCAAGAGGCGAGTGCCTGATTGAAGGCGCTCGCTTGGGCACCTTGCAAGGCGCACTTGAGGCGAGCGCCTGGGTGCGCCGAACACTGATTAGAAGTCTATGAAATCATTCTAAAAAGTGCCTCAAGTGCGCCTTGCAAACACTGATTAGAAGTCTATGAAATCATTCTAAAAAGTGAAAGAAAAAGGAAAAAAATCAGAGAATCATTTCTCATAAAGATAATTTTATGGACGCAAGCTGGGACGGATATTAAAAACTAATAATAATAAAGATAATTTTATGGAATACAAGAAGTACGGGTGTGACTACGAGATGTATGATTGCATTTTCTTTGAACATATTTTTCCAAGAATTTCAATTGCGTTAAAGCCACGTGTAACCTTGGTGGTGAGGCATTAATTGAGTCATTTTTTAAGCTTCGTATATCAGGACATTAATGAGAAGTCTACTTAGCTTTCCTCCTCGAGAATATTGCACTTAATTAAAGTTGAAGCTGAAAGGTCACTTGGCTTTAGCGATATGCTTTTAATTGTGCCTTGGGTTTTCAAGGGTCATATCATAGTCTGAGGATATTATCTCTTTGAAGGAAGCTTTTAATCGGGTGGACATTTTTCCAAGCAATCCTATTACCTTATAGCCACGTCGAACCTAGGCAGTGAGGCTTTTATGGAGTCGTCTTCAAGGCTTGGTATATTGGGGCAGTAATGTGAAGCCTTCCCATCTTCCCTCCTCGAGAATAAACGTTCTTCATTAAATTTGAAGCTGAAAGGTCACTTGTAAGAATTAAAGATATGTTTTAGCTGTGCCTTGGGTTTCCAAGAGTCATATCAGAATTCGAGGATGTTTTCCCTTTGGGAGCAACTTTGAATTAGTACTTCGAGAGTTTAACTCAACATCTTTTTGGCAGATTTCAATTGGGTGCATTTATGGCGCATGTTAATGACTTTTCTTTTCGATTTCTTAAGAAGAAAACCTCTAGCTTCCTTTTTGACCAATTGGGTGCATTTGGGTTTATTGAAAATAAAATCTTCCTTACCGTTGCCCACCAATTCTTTACTTCCATCCATGTCAATTGAACATTCCATATTTATGTACCTATCCAAACTCTTTCTTTTGACTTTTCATATTGATTATATTTTGAAATCTTCCTTTGTTTCATCTCATTTAACAGACTGCCGTCATTGGAAGAATTTAGGGCTTGGTTTGGTTGTCCAACATAATTTTTTTTAACAAGAAACAAACTTTTCATTGATAAGATGAAAAGGAAGAAAAATATTTGAGGATAAAAGCTCCCAAAGCAAGCGAAAAAGGAAGAAAAATAACCAGAAAAGGATAAAAAAACAAGATAATAGACCAAATAATCAAAACCACAATCAAAAATCTAGAAAGGATCTAAAGCCAAAGAAATGGCAAAAGGCTAAAAGATCAGAGACTCGAAAAACTTTCTTTAACGAAGCTTGCCAATCCAAAATGACTGTTTGCTAAGGAGAAACTAAAACAACCACTAAACACAAAACTGAGGAGCTAAATATTTCATGATTAACCAATATAAAGCTTTTGACTGCCAAGATCAAGAATTAATGAATCTAAAACCTCCCCCTCCAAGAAAAGAGTCACCTAATGCTGCTGACAAGCTCTTCAGAAGCTCAGTTCTTTGAAAACCCTTAATGCTCTCCTTTAAAGCCAAGAAGAACTTAAAATAGTCTCAACCCTCAAAACTGCTGCAATGTGGCACCAACAAAAAATTTTGTTGCCCTTAATAAGAGTCTACGCATTCATGGATTGGAACTAGGGTAATGCAAAAATCTTCAAAATATTGAAAAAATTTTGATTATCAGCACAAGAAGCCTTTTTCAACTACCAAAAGCTGTTGGCTAGAAGGAGAAAGCAAAGTATCCACCTTCCCAAGAGAGCTTAAAAGGGACTTCATGTTCTGCAAAAAGTATATTAAAATCTTCGGTAAGGAAAATCTCTGATAAATCTTCAATAGCAACTTCTTGTTCTTCGAAAAACCTTAAAGCCATGTGAAGCCTTGGTTGTCCAACCGAATTTGAATCTTGAAACATAATGTTGGCAGGTTTAAATGGGTAAACTTCATTCGATGTGAGAAATTGATTTAGTGAAAATTCAAAGATTGTTGCTTGAACTTTTTGGTTGCTGAAATTTTGTATGATATTGGTTCTTGTTTAAAGATTGACCTTCATATATCCCAAATGCAATCAGATTCATCTAAATCCTCGACAATTTATGGGTATTATCGTTGATTATAATGTGAATTGAGATTGATCATTCACGTAAAGTTCTTCACCAAGAATAAAATGAACCATATGCCGCCAATTAGAGGTATGGAACCCCATAGCAGCCCACATAAAAGCGCATCGAATGCAGCACATCTCCTAGTTGATCCTTATCCCAGGAAGTGTTTGGATCGAACAATTTGGCGAACTTAAAGGGTGGCAAGTGACCGTTCTGGTGGTGGAATTGAGAATTAAGGTTTATCGTACCCAAGGGTATTTCTTTCATGCAAGCGACTATTCAAGTAACGTTTCTTGACCCAAAAGTTTCTTGCTTTTATCCTAGAATTCATATTCTTCAAAGTCTTCCTCGAACCGAAGGGTATTTCTTTCTTGCACTCATCAACTCTCGTACAAATCCGTGAAATCGTGAATCATAATTGAAACATTGAGATTGAATTTGGGCTGAAGAAATATACACAAATTCTTCCTCATAGTCACTTAAATCAATATCCCAATCTTGATTTCTATTGTATTCAATTCCTTCATCGCTCGAATCAGAATCAAATCTTGGTTTTCCTTGTATTGTTGAAATGTCTTTCTTGTGCGTCATATCTTCAAATACACATGTTTCTTAGGTCGTATTTCTTCGTTCATGCAAATATTGCATTGGAATCTTGTTCGTAAAATTATCGTTCTTGGCCGTAAAACTATTGTTCTCTTCTTTCTTCTTCAAAAGATGGCACTCTAAATGGTATCCTCTTGTATTTTGGTGTGCGCTGCTGGATAACAAGCATAGCCACGAAGCTCCTTCTTGCTATCTGCATGAGCAAGAGTTTCCGGCCTCTATCAACGACAACCATTGTTGGATCACATGATTGCTTTGATTCAAAAAAAATATACTAGAGAAATCTTTATTCACAATTGAAATTCATTTTAATAATTCCGGAATTACAAAGTCAAATGCCTTTATTTATAGAGGAATTAACAACTAAGATTTCTTTTTTTTTTTTTGGGTAAGAAAGCAGGTTTCATTGATGGTATGAAATAACCAAAAAACCATGGTGGCTAATTACAAGAAAGCCATCCAATTAGAGGTAAGAGCAATTAGAGAGTAGTTGTTAAAAGGGGGATAAAATCATTTACACCATCTAAATGCTAAAACAATAACCCTATCAAAAAACCTCAAATGGGAGAAGAGCAGCGTTGAAAATCTTGTTGCTACTTTCCAACCAAATTCTCCAAACAAAGGCACGGACGAATTGTTTCCATAGGATTCCCCCTTCCTAAAAGGATGGCCGTTCAACAGCGAGCTAAGGAAGATGAAGGGGTTGTTGTGTAGTACAGTCAAAGGTCCCGAGTAGTCTATTCCAGAAGATGGATGCAAATTCACATAAGATTAAAACTAAAAAATAACAACTAAGTTTTTAAAAACTAAAAAAAAAAAAAAAACCAAATTATGAAACTATCTACATCAAATACAAATGAATCTGAACCTTTAAATAGGTTAAGGACCAAGTAGCTGTGATAGGGGCGCCTTACCTGACCAAGTGTTTCAACCGTCACACTGTTATATGATAGGAAGATTTTGTGAGTAGGTACCTTCAATATCTCCCCATGCTCAATATGCAATCAGTTGCTTGTTTATATGTTTCCCCAGCTGGCATGAAGGAGTGGTTGTTGAGAAGGATGCAAAAGATGAAACAACATATATTGTCCGCTTCCCAGGCATGTCACTATTACTCAGAATTTCATTGATCCTTTTTCTATAGGTCTCGTCTTGTATAAATGAATCGTCATCTGGTTCTTTTTGCAGCTCGAGGGGAAACATCAACTATCAAAGCTTGGAATCTCCGACCTTCTCTCATATGGAAAGATGGGGAATGGTTTGAGTTTTCCGGCTCATATGTTAATGACTATTCTCATGAGGTTCTTACTGTACTTGTGTTTTTTTACTCTGATTTTAAATCCATAATCTGTTGAATGCTGAGTTGCTATTGCTTTCAGATTGTCGTGCCTCAGGAAAAGCGCATGAAGTTGGGTAGTCCGGCTGCAGAGGTGAAAAGGAAGGATAAAATGCCAACGATTGTGGAGGATGTAGAATCAGTGAAGCCAGCGGACTCGAGTTTACTTATGATATCTGCGAATGAAAAAGTATTTAATGTTGGTAGAAATACTCAAACTGAGAAAAAATCTAATCCATTAAAATCCAGTCGGACTGGTCTGCAGAAGGGGGCGTCGAGAGTGATTATTGGTGTTCCCAGGCCTGGAAAAAAGAGAAAATTTATGGAAGTGAGCAAGCATTATGATGCCGACACTCGGACTACTGAAGCAAATGATTCAGCTAAGTTGCAAGGGACATCCAAAGGATTAAAAAGAACTTTTAAATATGAAATGAAAGATAAATCTGCAAACGATGCAAAGCCCATGGGTGCCAAGTCCGGAAAGCAGCCAAGTATATCAGGTAAAACTATTTCATAGAGTGAAAGCCTTTTGTCAATGTTTCTGCTGATGTTTGATCATTTGGCAACAGAACATGCAGTTATCAGCAAGGATCCTGAAAGCCAGATTGAGAGTGCTTCAGGGAAGAACGACCAGATGGATGTTACTTCTTTCTGTAGCATTGAAGAAGCACCAGAGGGCTCGGTCTTATTTCCTCCAACACATGCTCCCAAGAAAGCATCCTCATTTCACCAGAAGCCTGAACGGGCAAACAAAGGAAGACTTGCTCCCGCAGCTGGGAAAATGGCAAAAATTGAGGAAGAAAAGGTTTTCAATGGGAATCCGACGAAATCAAATTCAAATGTTGTTGAGCCACGTAGATCAAACCGCCGTATTCAGCCTACATCAAGAGTAAGTCTTCGATGTGGGAACTTTAATCAATCTGTATTCTGACATTATTCTTGCTTACCGTTTTTTTTTTTAATAAGAAACCTGAAACATATGAATTATAAACTAAAGCGCCGAAAACAGCCTAAGGAGGCTGAGGATAGAACCCCACCCAAAAATACTAAATGATGGCTTTCCAGTTGTTGATGACTATAGAGAAGCTGTAATTACCAAAACTTGCCGATTGAGTAATACCAATAGCTATCTTTCTAGCTAACATTTTTTTTTTTTTGATAGAATGATTTAGGGACCCGTCATCATTACTGATAGGTGCTCTGCAGTAGCTGTTAGTTTGGTTGTATCTTAGTCACGAAATTTTAATTACTATCATTATTATATAAATTTTCATAGACCTCGTCTTATGAAATAATAATGATCATATTAGATTTCTTTTTTTTAGAAAAAGATCTGAACCCATTACTCTTATCTGTTTATAGCGTCCACTGGTTTCAGTCATCCAACTGCTGCATTAATTTTCCCTTGGGCCTAACCATTGAAACGAATCTCTTTTTCCTTTTAACTTTGTTTCATCCATTAGTTCTGTATTTTATTTACCCACATATATCTTGTGTAATGTGCATGTGCATTCTGAATCTCGGTGACTGCAGTTACTAGAGGGATTGCAAAGCTCATTGACGATTTCGAAGATTCCTTCTGTTTCACACGATAAAGGTCACCGAAGCCAGAACAGGAATGCATCTAGAGGTAAGAACTGATGTGCCTGATTCACTCCAGAACTTTGCCTCAAATTTACGTTACATCATGACAAAAATTTCTCACTTGATCGTTACAGGGAACAAAATCTAAGAAGGCTATTGGAACTTGGTTCTAGGCCAGGAAACGACCTCTGCCGATCATTTAATGTGACTTTAACAGTAGTTTATATTGTTGTATTTAATATAGATAAATGTAGGAAAGGAAACTCTTGCTTCCTTAGTTATACTCCTACAAGTTTAGCTGTAGTTCATATTGATTGAAGTTCCCTCACATTTGTGTTCTCTCAAGCTCCTCCTCTACCATAACAGGATGTATATTGAAACTCTTCTTGTAGGTCGGTTGGAATTCAAAAGAAGGTAGTTTGGTTATCCATTTATGTCATCTCCCACACCCATGATCTATAAATAATATCACATTTGATGTTGCGTGATTTCAGAATCGAAGCATCTACTCCGTTTCATTCCGGTGCGGAGTTAATAGAGACTTGGTGCATTTTATTTGTTACTTATCCTCATTATTCACACTGCCAAGTACAACTATTGAAGAAGTGGTCACAAGGTTCAGGTACAACTGAAAATTTGTTTTCTTTGAACTATTTGGAAAGAGTAATGTTGGATTCTTCTCTTATGGTCACTTACCAGTAAAGTTTTCCATGAATTAGGAATCCCTTTCTTTTGTGTGCTTATATTATGTATTGTATGCCTAAGTTATAGGTGGAGGTGTATTGAAAATGTAAATGTTGGTTTGGCTTTTTATAAAATCTGAGAGTAAAAATCAATTAATCATGAGATTCTGGTTAACTTTTGTTCATCATGGAGAAGCCATTAAAGGGGCATTTTGGTCCTTGGGCTTTTCTAATGGAAATGAATTTTAGGATCTATTATTGGCCATTGCACCCTTCCAAGTATCTTCAAAACTTGGTGAATTCTCATAATAAAAATTATTTCTTTCGTTGGTTAAATCTTTTGCTGCTATTTTTTTCTCCCAATTACTAATGATTTTCACATTTTTGTTTTTGGAAGTCTCCTGCCATGGTTGGGGCTGCTGTTTGAATATTATTATAATAATAATCAAGTCTTTTTTTTATTTTTATTTTTTTTATTTCAAACTGTTTTTCTAATTTATAATTGAGTATGAAATAATTTGTTAAATAAAATTCCATTAATAAATTTGTTGTAATGCAATATAATTGATTACTCCTTACATGTTAGATGACAAATAAGTAAAATTCTAGACTTTTACGAATCTTATTTTAAAAATTGAACACCCATTCTTGAGTTAATGAAATTCAAAATTTTAAATTAAAA